AGACACACATATAAAGCTAATTACATTTTCTCAGAGAAGCAGGCTTAAAAAGGATGTACGGGGAAAAAAGGTTGAGGTAACCTTCACCACTCAACCACTTTTGAATTAACCTTTCCAACTGTTAGAAAGTACCTGTTTTAAGTGAGCTGGAAGCCTATAATTTCATGTTACTGACTTGGATACCAGTCATAGAAGAGGCTTTGATTTGATTCCAAGAAAAGGTTCTGGGTAGAGTTAATAGAATTGGCAGCAAATTCAACCACTGCAGCTCCTACTCTGCTTGTGTTGCCTCACTATTTGCAGGTCCCATGGTTAAGATTTCTATTACTGAATCTTAGAAAGTTGCTTCTATTTGCTTCTTGTTTATGAGTCCAAGTTTCTTCACTGATGGGACCAACAAAACACTGAATCCTTTCTAGACCCTTCAAATCTGACCTTGACAGATTTACATTACTGGACATTGTATCAGCTTCTTCTTGATATCAAGACATTAAGACAGAAATTTGCAATCTGTTAATACTATCCTTGATGTTTATTCACATTCTGATCTCACTGCTGCAGTCACAGGAACATGCTAAACTGATCTACGAACACACGTTGAATTGGTAAAATGCCAGTTTTCCAAATCTCCTCTACCTAAAATGAAACATCACAAAGAAGGATGATTTCCAACCTCTGACCTATACACTAAATTAATAGGCTGATATGACCTGAACTAAACCAAGAACGTGCTTTTGGATCTTTACAAAATTATTACTAAATTCTCCAGTTTTATTTACTAACTATATTCAATATGATAAATGCATTTTTAAACACTTGCGTGCGAGTATAAAAAGGATGAAAGGCAATTTTCTTCTTTCTTTCAATCCACCAGATGTTATTACCATGAAAAGAAACACCAAGAACCAAGAGAAGTGCCTTGGAAACCAACAGGGAAATAGAACTTATTACCTTTATAACATATTCCATTGTGAACAAGAGATTTATTTTTGCAGATTGACAGACTACTTCCCATAATTCTTTTAACATGCGTTTTGTATGCTGTCAACAGTTTGCAGAATGACATTCTTTACAGTAGTATAACTGCCAGTAGTACTTAATGCTCCATACTTAAAAAACACACTCTACAACTGATGTATAATGCTGCCAAAAATTACATAAACACGAACACTTCACCAAGAAAATTGATGTTCTGTTGCTTAATTCTGAGGTTTTAAGGAATGTTTGTTTGTATATCTAGAACTACTAAAGATTTGCTCCACAGTAGTTGTGGTCACTTGATATTCTTCATGCTTATGCAATTTTTTAAAAGTTTGGTTAAAACAGACTTGCATTGGGGTCACATTGTACCCTAGGAGTACAAATTGCATGACAAACAAACATAATTCCAAGTAAACATATTTTTGGGGACAGTGGAGCATGGATTTTGTACACACAATAAAGCTGCCATTAATCTACTTTATATAATAAATGTATAAAACATTCCAGCTAATGTGCAATATGTAAATACTGTAAATAGCAAATATAAGTAATAAAGTGTTTGGTATTAAGTTATCCTCAGTGTGTTTTCTTTTCACCCCTTAGAATCCAGAATTTGATAAATTGGAAGCTGTTTTCAGGTACTTACTGTAATTTATCCATACTTAAACCTTTTGCCAATGAGCATTTGCTAGGACAAAGGAAAAAAAAAGTATATACCCCTCAGAGAAGTCCAGTAGTTTGGACACTCTCTATGGATTTGTGAGTACAGCCAGATCTGTGTTCCAGTCTCCAGAAGTGCCCAGACTACAGGGCTGCTCCAGTTACGTACAGATTTCTAAATGTGAATTTTTTCTGGCAAAATTTTGTCAGAAAATCCATATTCTATTCATGATATTGTAAAGTGATATAATCAATAAATGTCCAACAAGATATTGTAGTACAAGAACTTTGGAGTAAGTCTTCGCTAACTCCTCAGGAAGCTTTGATATACATTTGCCCTTCTTCCTTAAATCAGATATTCAATCCAGTTGTCATAATAAAATGGCTCAAACAGGAAAAAAAATTATGCATGTCTTGCAGAAGCGCCTCAGGATCTTTTTCTAAATATTGCCATTTAGCTTCCATTTTATCCTCAATTACAGCCACAAAATGTAAAAACAAAATGAAACAAAACACCACCCTGAGAAACAGGGAGGGGGCTGGGATTCTTGAAATGCACACTAAGAAGCCTACAGCATCTATTTGTCTTTAAAAAAAAAAAAAAAAGGGCAGAAGTACAAGCCTAGATTATCAACAATCACTAACTGCTAAAGTTTCATTTCTCACCGGCAATTATACATGTATACTGGAAAATATGTAGCTAAGAGAAGGTACTCCTACACGATTCTCTTAACTGCTCATCTGCAGTAAACATGTGGGTGGAACTCTGTGCTTCTCTGTAGTTCCACTGATTGAAATCACATCAGAGCATATTACTTAACATAGGAGTTTAAATTCATACAAATATTTCTATTTGTAATAAGAGACTGAAATCTGGTTAAGTTAAAATTTTCCAGAAAAAAAAAAGATATATTGTAAAATGAAAGAAGTAATATATTTAATGGCTTAATAAATGAATATAAATAAGTTAATTCCATGAAAGTTTTTTGGCAAAAGTCAGTAGGCTTTGACAGAAGATAAAACTATACTGTATAAGGGTTTGCTTATTTAGTTCTAGGTATAGGTTCATTACCTTAACTGAAGGGGGGTGGGGAAGACTAAGGGGGAGCAAATTCTACATTTTTTAATACAACATTACATTTTTCTTGAGCGGTATTTTAAACCTGTAAAAGCTTAATCATTTTTGTGATTTGTGTATTATGTTCACTGTTTCTCTTGTAATCTAAGTGCCACTGTCCTTCCTCTGAAGGCTATCCTGCTTCTGTATTCTCGTATTTTATGATCTCTTTCTAAATGCAGTGTTGCTATCCTAGCTTCCAACTCAAACAAATGTATGAATTCTCTTCAAGAAACAAAACAAACTCGTCCCCCAAACCCCAAAACAAAAAGGGATCCAAAAAAAAAAAAAAAAAAACTTTCTCCTGCTATCAGAGCCAGTGAATTATTTAGCCAACAAATTACTTGTTGAAAATATAACTTGGCACAAGTCTGACACTCTTCAAATCTGAACTGAATTTAACACGGATAGTTGACTTAGTATCAGTTTAGAGTAAGATTTCTAAGCCTAGTGAAAGTTAAAAAAACAAATCCTCCTTTATCTCCTTTCTGTTACCCCAGCAGCCTAAAGATAAATATTTATAACTTTTAAATCTTGGCTTTAAAATGTACAAAACCTTAGGTTCAATTCCTACTCAGCCATGAACATGAAAGCACAAACCATCATGTTCTCAAATGTCTGATTTATTTTACTTCCACTGGAATATTTAAAACGGTAGTACTCTTTTAAGTACCTCCTCTTCTGAGGTAGTGCATAAAACCACATCTAAGATAGCTTGTGCCCATCATTTTCACTCATTCATTTTGTTAAAGTATTCATAACAAATGGAAAATCATTTTTTCCAGATTTAGATTTTCATCTGACCTGAAATATATATTCCTTGTCTTAAGTAAGAAAGAAAATGTTTCATTTTACTTTGGTTTAACCCCCAAATTAATCCCTGAAGTAAAGCAGCTATTAATCTAAAAATTTTTAACTTGATCTTCAAAAATCAAAACTGTTGGTAATACAAATTTTGCATAAAGATACTTGTTTTTACATTTACATATTCCATCTACCATTTATATTTGGTAAGCAAGTTCCTACATTTTATGTAATATTTTCTTTTTCAGAAAATTCTGATTGAAAATTTAGCAATCAGAAAACAGAAACCTCATTAACACAAACATTTTTCAGCTGTTCTACTGCAGTAGTCCTAGGAGACTTACTCCCCACTGCGAAGGCTGCAGCACATCTTCACAGTGACACCAAGATTCCTCCCTCCCCAGGGATAACAGGGTCCTCTATCAAAATACATCCCTTGCACAGGAGGTGAGTGGGTAACAAATCAAGAGGCTATTCTATGTTAGTTTGGAAGGCAGACAGAGGGCATAACACAGCCACAAGGCTAAGAAAACAAGTTTTAAACATAACGTGGTAATGCCAGTTCATACCAATGTTGCCATTACTTAAAATAGGGAACTACCATGGTAGCAGTTATGTTACTGCTCTCAAAAGAGACTTAAGGCAGAAATGAAATGCAGACAAACAGGCCTGTGTTTTTTACAGTGCAATTTTTGTGAGAGCAGAACTTCCTACTTATTGGCCTTCTATTAACTTCACACTACGTTACAGGTAGTCAGTCAAAAGCATGCTCTGAGAGTATAGTTTAAACTGAACACAGTCCATGTACTCTCCTGAACAGTATCTGACAATACTGTCCATAGAGGAACTGGGATTATAGCAAATTTCTTTAATTATATTTGGTAGATTTGAATTATTTTATTAACTGTGTGATACAAAACATACATTTCACATCTAGGCTTTTAAAATTGACCTGTTTTGTCCTAAAAATAAATGCTATGTCACACTTACCTGTATCACTGTGCTAGGAACTAGTCCCAAGACCAAAGGAAGACTAACTGGATAAGTCCTATTAATATTGATCGGTATTTCTGAACTGAGATCCTCTTAATTGGTATAAAAAATAATTTTGTCTTTGCTAACTGAACACTTAAACCTATCTAACCTGTTTTAACAGGAACCTGATGATTCACACAGGTTTTGCTTGCCTGAGCTTTCAAATAATGTTAAATGCAATACCTGTCTGGGGGCACATACAGTTCTTTTATCCACCAATACGAAACAGCTTCGGTCCAAAAGCTGTCTAACGATGCTAGGATGCTATGCCTAAGTTAATATGCAGGTACTACTATCACACAGCTTCCTGTTGGAAGTTGGTTTAAATTAATTCACTAATGGCCCAATAAGAAGATCTCAGGTTAGTTTATATTGCACATAAAGAAGCAAGACATTATTTTTATAGTGCTTGTGAGAAAGCACTGGAAGAGTTCACAAATAAATTTATTCTGAATGAAATACTTTATTGTTACATAGATGCATGAGAATATGACTGATCATCTAATTCAAGTTTAAAACTTTTCTATTTTTTTCTAATTACATGACAGAACAGCTACAATACAAAATTAAACTGAAAAAGTGCCAGTTTGGCCCTACTGAGAAGGCATAATATTACATTTCAAATACATCAATCAAGTAAAGCTTACATATTTCAGGAGGAGCTTATTATTTTCTTTTAGAAATAAAATGATGCAGCATTAATGGGGCTTCTCCAAAAATGCTTTACAGCATCTAACACACTGCTCGTAAACAGTTTCAAAGTCCTTTTCGTTCCCCTAGAAAAGAGCAGAGGAAGCAAATGTAAGAATGGTAATACTAGCTCAGACCAAAAATTCTTCCACACTAGCTCTCTGCTACCAATAATGGCAAATAATTGCCATTACAGAAAAATATGCAAAAAATATCACAGTATTCGTACTATTTCCTCCCTGCTTTGAATTACCAGGGGCTTACGAGTTTCCACAGCCAAATACTGTGATTTTGTGCTCAACAACCCTTGAGTAACTTTCCTCCATAGATCCTTCTAGTCTTTGAGCCCTTATAAGCCTTCATTTTTTCTTTACACAAAATCCTTTCATGTTGAGTTTCACAGTTTAACAAACCACTGTGTGAAAAAAATACCCCTTTTTTCTTTTGAACCTGTCATTAGTTACTATTTCCTTCTTGTATATCGAACAGTGATTCCCTTTTAACCTTTTCCCATGATAATCAAGATTGTATAGAACTCTGTTGCACGTCCCTTCACTTTTCTTTCCTAAGCTGAAGAATCCTAGTCTAACCTGTTGCTCTGTACTGACATTATTTCACTTCCTTGACTATTCAGTGCCCTTCTCTCTTTCTTGATTATCTCATCTTTGAGAAATGATGCTGACTGACCAGGACTTTACACAGTATTCAAAATACATTTTAAATTTAAGTAATTTATATAAGCATAAAGATGTGTTTTCCTTTCCTAGTCTAACACTTTATATTGTTTTGTTCTCTATTCCTAGTAATTCCTAAGTGAAAATATGTCTACAGTTGACTTTATATTTCATCAGATTATATATTTCATGAGAACTGTGGGATCTCGCAACACTATATACTACATATATATACTATTTTTGATCAAGCCACCCAAAAAATTTCTTATACATACATAATAAGGATCTTCAATAATAAGTTGTTTCTGTGGATCATAAGTCCCAAGTAGTTCAATTGTAGCCTTGCAGTCTTTAACTTGGTTGCTTTTCCTTTTCAGATCTCTGTAAAAGTAAAATTAAAATTTTCCAATCAATTTCTCAGAATTTCTTTTTGGTATCAGGGTTAGATGCTCATGATTGTCATATCCTTTCTTCTAAATTGCCTCCCACTGATACAACATACTATTTTTGAGATGGTATCTTCCCCATCTGCTTACAAATGAGTGTCCATTATCCTAATGCAGTTAAAATGCACCTCATCACCTTCCAATGAAAGGCAGCTCAGTGCTATGTTTTTCACATAATCATCACCTTTACTCACCTAGTATTAAAAAATTTTAAATTAGTTTGCAATAGGTCATTAGAAACAATTTCCTGCAGAGTATTGTTTCAAATAGTTGCTGTTAAGCTTTTACAACCTTACTTTTCTGTCTAAATCATACCACAGAAAGGCAGCAGTGAGGATTAACTCTGTGGCCTAAAAAATTAAGCTTTGAGCAGGGCCTTTGAAAACACACACTATGTTTCCAAGTTTTACACTGATTTATGGATGAGGTTTAAGAAAAAAAAAAAAGAAAAGAAAGAAAAAACAAGGATTACCTTGCCATCTGTAGATCCCAAAGGACATTACGACTCACAGTACTTTTTATACTTAATAAGAAAAATCTGTAAATACTTACAGTAATAATATTCAGCTTTAAGAAATTAATGTTCCTATTTCATATAGTTTAGAAATACAAAATTACAGTAAGAGTATAATATGCTTTTTCTTAAAGAAAAATTAGGAGTCCTCTATAAATTAAGCAATTATTGCTTGAAGTCACAGCTTTTCAGTAAGTTCTCTATCCTTCTATAATAAAAGGTGTAGCCTGTGAATATTTGTTATATTTTCAGAGGACAAGAAGGATGTTTGTTTGGAGACTGTAATACCATGCTATATAATAAAATTCACCTAATTACAATGAAGTCCAACCATTTGCTTCAAGGCTTTTGGCATACCACCTAGTAAGCAGGAAGAAGTCAAATGGCTCCAGCACTAAGGAAAAGTGATGTCGCAAATTAAGTTTGCTCCCTTTTCTGATATGGCAGGCACTCCATCAGCGTCTAAGATGAACCCGGTTTCCTGGAGCTACAGATAGGTGTTGCCAGGAAAACCACTTGGACTGGGTTTAAGGCGAAATTAAAGTGCGGCAGTAGCAATATCCCTATTCTGCTATAGCTGTGATGCTTCTGCTCATGTTATGTTTTTCTGTTCATGTTATGGAAATTGTTAATACCAAAGTAAGTTTTACATAAGAATTTAAACAAAACTGAAAGTAAATCTAGTTCAATCTTTCCTGACAAACTGCAATCAATCCAAGTGTTACATACAGCATGTATGAATGAAGAATATAAGAGAGGCCATTCAAAACATTCTACAAGAGTCAACAAATGACACTTATTTCAGTTAAGCACTGCTGTTTTTAAAAAGTCTTTAGGGGTTGCTAATAGACTTGTTTTTTTAAACTAACTTCACATGCAATAGTCCTTATGAACACCTTGACATTTGTACTTTATTAAAACTCAGACCCTTATAAGGAGTCTATTATAATACCAATTATAAGTGTGTACCTAATTAAGTTGAAATTTTGCTAACGATGCCCAAATTACCACATAAGTCAGCTCCAAGTCTATCTTACACTCATATTGCCTCAAAGACAGACTTAACAAAAATGATAGGAAACAGGAGCAAACAAGTCCCCTGGCTAGCGACCTTACGTCAGAGCTCCTTCAATTTCTCAAAAAAAAAAAAATAATAATAATAATCCCACCTCCCTGCCCCCTCCATACACAGAAAACAACTTATAACATAGATAAGCGCAAAAAAGAATAGGAGTTCTGTGCATGCAATATTGCAGATGACATGACATGAGCAATGCTGACAATCTCTAACCGAGCAAGAGGTTAGAGGTAAAATCTTTAATCCCTTCCAATTTCCCCAGTGTCTTTTAGATCCCATGCTAACTAGAAAAAGAGATCACTTTAATCAAAAGTCTTAGCACTTAAAATGAAAATCTGTACTCATGCCTAACTATACAGACAGCAATGGAATGTCTATAATTTAGCGTATACTAGATTTCTTTATTCCTTAAGTGTCATATCACACAAATAAACTGCTCCCTTCTAGCTCATTAAAAATATTAGAAGTAAAGAATACCTTTATTAGGATATCATACACACACAACAAAAAAAACCCTAAAATATCCTAACTGTCTTCCAAAGTGACTTACGAGCTAGCACTACAAGTAATGAATAAAAATTTGTTCAATTTCTTCATACATTACCTTAGATTGCTTTCATCCATACAAAGTATATAGTCAAAGGTCTGGAAGTCTTCTTTAGTAATCTAGAATTAAAAATATGTGCTTTAGCCTACAAACCATGTTTGAATACAGAGGAAAAAAGTTTAGTGTTTTCAAATTTCAAAATTTTGATTTATTCAAAGAAACAGATTACAAAAATTAAATAGCCTCTCTTCATAATCCCTTATAATAATGTGTAAAGTGTTTAATTATATTCTGCCATGATTACTTATCTAGCTGTACAAATCTTCCACAAAATAAATAAATTAGCTATTTTATTAATAATTCTTAACATCCCATTAATCAACACAGAAACATCACTAGAAATGTCACTACCTCCCATGCTTTCCAACAGCTAAAACTAAAACAGGTTTCCAGTGACAGAAAACATACAGTAAAAATGCAGGCAACTTACTGTTTTAGTACTTCATTAACAGAAAAAAATAAAAGAATTAGACAACATGTAATATATACAATATAGAAATCTGTGTATTATACAGACAAAGATAATAGGTGAAATTCAAAGATAAAGCATGATGGCATGAATTACAATCTTTGAAAAAAAAAAAAAACAAATGCAGTGACAGTGCTTTAGGCCACGTAAGCTCACAATATTCACAACACAACGGGAAAAAAATCTGGGATCATCTTTGTACTGTCATACCAGCGGTTATTTTTCTTTCTCACAGCTTACAAACTCCGAAAAACAAGCATTTAAAAAATTCAAAGATCTAAGCTCACAGTAAGGTGAGCAAGCATTACTGATAAGCCATTAATTTAGGTAGGTACTAACGTTACCTGGACCACGCCCTAGAAAGAAGAGGGGTCCAAGAAAGCTGGTTAATATTCAAGAATCACATCCTCCAAGCTCAAGATCAGGGAATCCCTCTGAGTAAGAAGTCGAGCAAAGCGGGCAGGAGACCTGCAGGGATGAGCAAGGAACTCCTGGCAAAACTCCAGCAGAAGAGAGAAGTGTACAGAACGTGGAAAAGGGGACAGGCCACTTGGGAGGAATACAGGGACGTTGTCAGAGCGTGCAGGGATGTGACAAGGAAGGCTAAGGCCCAGTTGGAATTAAATCTGGCAAGGGATGTCAAGGAGAACAACAACAACAAGGGTTTCTTCAAATACATCAAGAGCAAAAGAAAGACGAGGGAAAATGTGGGCCCGCTGCTGAATGGGGCAGGGGCCCTGCTGACGAAGGCTACAGAGAAGGCAGAGTTGCTGAATGCTGCCTTTGCTTCAGTCCTCACTGCTAAGGCCAACCCTCAGGAATTCCAGACCCTGGGGACAAGAGAGGAAGGCTGGAGAAAGGAAGACTCTCCTTCGGTCGAGGAGGATCGGGTTAGAGATCATTTAGGCAAACCTGACACCCACAAATCCATGGGCCTCAATGGGATGCACTGGTGAGTGCTGAGGGAAGCTGGCGGATGTTATCGCTAGGCCACTCTCCATCATCTCTGAAAGGTCCTGGAGATCAGGAGAGGTGCCTGAGGACTGGAAGAAAGCTAATGTCACCCCAGTCTTCCAAAAGAGCAAGAAGGAGGAGCCAGGAAACCACAGGCCTGTTTGCCTCCAGGATGAGTTGTTCCATCAGCTTTCCAGGGCTGGAGGTGAGGCTATCTCCATTACTAAAGACAGTCCATGGAAAAACATGTTATTTTTCCACTTTATCGATGTCAAACATTTGCCTTCCATTTCCAGAAGGGAAAAGGAATCTCTTTTTCTCTCTTGAAAAAGAAAGAGTTGCCGTGGTCCTCAAATTTATCCCGTGTAAAACAACCTTTAATATAACCTTCTTTTAATCTCTATTTCACATTAAAGGAAAACGAAAGACATGAGTCATACTGAAATCAATTTTGACCCGAGCATGAATAAAAGTGAAACTGATTAATATAACCATCTTGTACACAAAGGCTAAGAACTGAGAGAATTTCAATAGGTACATAAAAATACATCCTGCAGCCTATTATCAGCTAAAATGTTAGGATTTAATATGTATGTTGATACTTCAGTACTTTCACTGAAAATTTATGATTATTATATGGCACGGTAGTATATAACCAACTTAACATTCTCCGTTATATAAACTAGTCTTCTAGTATTTGTGTCAGTTTTGGATTAAAAAAAGATACAATCCACGATTATCATGAATATGTGCAAAATTATCTGAAAGTGCCTTTCACAGGGTACATAATTTTCCACAGGAATGAAAAGGATAATTGTATGAAGTAGTCATCTTTTGACAGTAATTAGGAGACAACAGAAAAAAAAAGCCTTTCTTTGTAATTCTTCAACTCCCTGAGTTAAATCTTTCTCAATCTGTTCTGGAACAATGGAACAAATGGAACTATTCTGGTTGTTCTGGAACAACTTACACTGGTACTGTTTCTTAGATTAGTACGCTCAACAACCAAATTTTACACTACCGAGTTCCTCTTTTTCCAGAAGAGCTATGAGCCCTATCAGGATTCCGAAAGAGCCCTATCAGGATTGCAAGTTTTAGAGGGTCACCAGAGACCAATTGACAGAACTTTGAAACAGTAAAATTGGAGTTACATAGCTAATGCCAATGAAAAAAAAAAAAATGAACAGTTACCGTAGGTCAGGGATTTGAAAATTTCCTTCTTAACAGAAGCTAGTCATGTTAGGATGTTTTAGACATATTTTCATCCTGTTGGTCTTTCACGTTATTGTCTCATCCTTTCTAATTTCTTCTCCCTGCATATGTAATATTTTATTATCAGACAGACTTATGGCCTTCCTTCAGATGTTTTTTTTGTTTGTTTGATCTAAGCTCTCCTGCTTTAAAATTCTGTTCGTTTGCCAGAATGTATAGGCAAATTTCTTCAGGAATGTGTTTTCACCTTCTCTATGCCAAAATAGTATACATAGAGTTGCTTCCAGGCATGGGATTAACTCTTTTGGATACTTTGCTTTAGTTTAACTGCTCATAAACTGCTCCAATAACACTCAAGCACAGTCCTTCCATTTCCAAAGCTTACCTTTTAAGACACACATGTTACACTAATGTGACTGAAACACTGACCGATTAATTTTAGTACCATTTAGCTAGTATAATGATGAAATATGCTGTTTTTAAGCACTAATATGCAATAAATCTAGAATCTTTAATGAAAAAGATCACAACATCAATCAACTTTTTCTAGTAATTATTCTAATGAAATCTGGAACAGCGCTGTGCTCAATTCTGTTTGCAGTAAGGGAGATTAGCATCAGGAAAGGTTAGCAGAGGGCATTCAACTAATTCAGGGAACTCATTTTAAAAAGTTAAAGAACTAAACATGTAGTTTTTGGAAGTGAAAAAAAATAAAGGATGACCTCAATAAGGTCTCATAAAATTCTCAAGGGAACAGAAAAGAAAGACTTTAACACGACCATGATCTTTTTTGTCAGTACAAAAAACTAGTGGCACAAACTTAAGCTAAGAAAAGGTCAAGTCCTAAAGCAGTACTTTGTATCCAGAGAATAGTTAATTGAAATAAGTTATGTGCATTTATTTGAGAATCTTAATAATAGATGCAGATATGTTTATTTCAGATCTCTCTGGAATGTAACATAGAAGTATATTTTCATTAGTGAAAACTGAGATCAGTTCTGTTAAAAACTTAGAGGATTTCACTAAGCAAAAAATGTCTTTGACATAATAATGTTTCAAGACCATGCTTTCCTCTGAAGTTACCACCAGCCCTACTACTAACCTTGGGTTTGAGCTCTTTATTTCTAACATAGCATTCTAAAAACTTTCTAAAGTTTTTCATTCAAAAGTAGAAATTTTAGTGATGGATAAGCAGGTATTCTACTTCTTTTTTGAATCTGCTGAATAAAAATGCAATCCTTTCAAATTCCAGTCAATTCTTTGCTTAAAGAAGAGCCACCGATTACAACAAGTCATCCATTTTGACAAGTACCCAAAACTGTTTGAGAAAAACGTTCAAAACACTAAGGCATCGAAGGTAAGATTCTTCTACAATGGAGAAGCTGCTCAAATGCTTCCTAGTTTTACTTCCAGTGAAGTTTAATAGTAAGAAACTGACTAACCTCAACTGGAAGAGTTAGGTCACTTTGAAACCCTTTGAAAAACTGCACATATTTATTATTTGATGCTTAATCATGAACTTTGTCAAATGACTTTCGTGATTGTAATGATTAGGGCTGAACAAAGAATGATGGGTATGAAGATGAAAGAAAATATACTCTCTTCTACCTGCCGTGCTTTATGGGCTGTCTCAATGCCATGATTTCTTAGACAGCTCAAAGCCCTTGCATCTGGGCAGCGCCCCACGTTCCAGTCTGAAACAGCAGCACTGTCTGTCATCCACTGTAACAACAAAACACATATATACACATATTTAAAGAAAATAAGAGTACAGTACCTGCCTGGCAATATGACTCATGGTAATGCCATGCTTCTTCATGCAAGTCTGTCCTCGATAGTCAGGAGGGTTTCCTATTTCATAGGTAGATGTTGCTGCACTGTCTATCCTCCACTACAGAAAAACAAATTTACATTTTATTTTTTCCTTTCTTACTGCTCGTATTTGTACTAACTGGCTAATAGACAGTTATTTCTTAGGCAGGTACAGAAATCAGTTACTTACCTTATTTTCAACTTTTTCATCAGTTACAAGTTTTCTAAAAACTGCTTCAGCTATTGGAGAACGACAAATGTTTCCTACAGAAACAGGAAATTTAGGATGATTAAAAACAAAAATTTAACAGTTGTGTGGATTCATGAGCACGTCAGATTTTTTTTTACTTAGCTACAGCTAAGTAGCTACATTCCTTCTGTTATTCTATCCCAAGAGATTCTGCAGCAATAGAAACATAACGTACCTCTGTCTCTTGAAACGCACATTATACTATGCAAAGATATACCTTGTTAAAGTAAATAGGAAAGGGGTTTATGTAAGCACATTACCCTATTCCTCTACTCTACAGAGTCTTCTGCGATCGCAGAAGACAAAGCAAAACTACAGAATTTCCAAGTGGCAGCAAATCATCTGCAAATCCTCCTACATACTGGCATATTTCAACTAATGTTTTACTAGATAATCCACAAATATTCATCTGAAGTATTCACATTATTATCCACTTACGAAACAAAACTTTTGGACAATTCCAAAACACAAATATCACCACTGTGGAACCAGCTTAGTGAAATGGCTGAAGCACCTGCAGTAGAAATGCTGCTAAAAACTAAAGTGAAGTCATTGCAGATCAAACTGAACCTTCAAGAGCAGCTTTCAGCTACTAATTCCAAAACCTCAAGGAAAAGAAGACGAAGAAGAAAAAAAAAATCAATTACACAAGCTCTTAAACACTTAAGGAAAAGAGATTTTCCAAAATTTTTTTGGTCTGAAGTATGGAGAATTAGTGAAGAAAGGTGACTCTGACAGCAAGGCTTAAGTACTGCCGATCAGCAAAAAACTAGGTAAGATTCCTGGTTTCTTATATAAATAATAAATCTTCTCATCCAATGGCCTCTGATTATTGGTCTGAACATTACTTTCAATAAAAACCCATCTCAGCAATGAAATAGTGACCAATGAAAAACTAGAAATAATTGATTTACAACATTTATGTCACTACTGAGGCTGTAACTAGGTTATTCATTTAAGGTAGACCTCTCAAATCTACACACAAAAATACATACTCTAGGATCACTAGAGAGAAAAAAGCTGCCATGACTTGAATATTTTACTAATCTGCTCTCATTCATACCAACTATAACAAAATCAAAGTGGGAAGTGAACCATTCAAGAAATACAAATGTGTTGCCAAAGTTTTGGAGAATTTTGGAGAAAGTCAAATCACTAAATGGGCAAAAGAAACTGTCTAATCATTTGGAAAACAATTTTGCTGAAGCATTAAGTGAATTTGGGTAGCAGCAGATCTTTTTCCAGGTGCAAATATACTATTTCCTTTATTTTAACTTGTTTATTGCAAGCTGAGAAACTAAATTGAACTTGAGAGAAAAATAAAGCAGTTAATTTGTAGATTAAAAAAAAAACTTTTTAGAGTGACAAAAACAGAGATTCCTTATTATTAATTATAAGAATGTTGAAGAATATACATAAAAAACTCACTTATTTTATAAACTAGTTAAGCATTAAACAATACCATTTTATTAGGAAATCAAGGGGACATGAGCACAGAACATTAGACAGAAAGGAACCTTCACAGTCAGTGAATCCAATCCTTCAATACTGTAGACAAATATACCATCAAGCTCCCTTTTAAAAGCATCATCTATATTAAAAGGCTAGCTGAGAAACTCATTTCCTCTGATAGCCAGAAACCTTCCAATTCCCAGTTATTATTTATTCTTAGAAGTTTATGCTCATTTGATCTTGGTTAACATGACTCTGTATCTTAAAAACCTTTCTTCCCTTCAGCAGATACAGAACCAACATACTTCTTGTCAAGCACAGTTGTGCTAAGCTAAACAAACCAAGCTCTCAGTCTCCTCAGGAAATTAACTGTCCCTTATCTAATCATTCTATTTAACCTAACTCTGCACTCGTTCTAAATTTAATTCATTTTTCTTGAATGCTGACAACTAAAACTACATACAGGATTCCAGCAAAAGTTTTACAAATTCTTTTATAAAAAAGAAAAAGACTCCAAAATATTTACTTAGCTCTATTGAAAAAAACTTGAGATAACACCTTCTAGAATCACATTTCAATCCTTCACGAATATCACATTTGTGATCATAATCTCCTACTTCTAATTAGCCCAGTCCATCTCTTTCTCTGTTGCTTCAAATAACTTTAAATCATTCTTAACTACTAAATTCCACATCAATTACATCAGCTTTCGAGACCATCCAGCTGTTGCTGTATACAGAATCACAGAATCGTTTAGGTTGGAAGGGACCTCTGGAGATCATCTAGTCCAACCTCCCTGCTCAAGCAGGACCCTCTACAGCATATTGCCCAGGATCACATCCAGACGGGTTTTGAATATCTCCAGCGAAGGAGACTCCACTACCTCTCTGGGCAACCTGTTCCAATGCTCTGTCACCCTCCCAGTGAAGAAGTTTTTCCTCAGGTTTAGGTGAAAGTTCCTGTGGTTCAGTTTCTGCCCATTGCCTCTTGTCCTGTT